TTCTTAATTTCGATAACCTCTTTTTTATTCACTTAGCTGCAAACACACCATATTCAGTAATATGACTAGTTTGAGCCCATTATAAATTATGTCCAGTTTCTGAGACAAAAAAGGCTCATTAACATGGCCAGATGTGTGCCCATCTTTGTACATATATGTAGAAAGGGCGAGATAGTAGTCATCAAACCTTGATAGCCGAGAACAGACATTGCTTTTGCTGTCATAAGTACTTTGAGCCAGCACTGCTGGTTTCGTGCATTAGCGAACACATACACATAGAGAAAGACACACTCACAAGCTTCCAGGTTGACACATGACTGGAACTAACCAAATCACTTTATACCTCATCAAATAGGCCAGATATGGATTATATAGACTGCTTTTTATGGATTTGCCAGTGAATTTTGTTGACTAGTTAGCTTGAATTTGGCTGAAAGTATGCTACATTGCTCTGATGATGTTCGTTATATGATGGGCCAAAGCTTAGCCATTTTTCACCAGAGTCGAAGGAGATTCTCTCGTAAACAGAGTCAACATGAATGTTCCAGGAAAACCAATCGATAGCTGGTCAAAAGGGATTCGCTGTCGTTTTCTGGTGGAATCGACCTTCGAATCTCTTCACCAAACACTTTACTAGAAATGGATGTAAGCTCAAAAATGATGAAACAAGAGATTTTTCAAAACCCAACTTTTCTTGGCGTATTCTAAGGAAGATGAGAACCAACTTGATATAATGGATAGCTGTGAAAATTTTCATTTTGTATGTAAGTACATGATGAAAAGATTCGTGGGTCAATCTCATCCAAAGACACTAGCTGATCCGCGTTGTACTGAAGCAGTTTGGCATTAATACGACGTTCAGGTTGATGCAGTCGACAAGAAGTTCGTCATATTACGAACGAAAGTTCAATCGGTCTTCGCCCGAAACACTGGAGGATGTTTGGCATTAGTCAAACTTAGCAGTACAACACGAATCAGCCAGCGTCTTCTGGTGAGATTGGCCTACGAATCTCTTCAGCATGTACTTTCATACGATATGAAAGTCTTCCCAACAATCTCATCTAAAGGGATTCTTCGAGACCCGCATTTTCTTTGTATATATAATGGATAGGTACTATATCCTCGGCAAAAAGGCGTAACAGAGAAAAAAATCAGTCCAATTTTATATATATCTGATTCAGGATACCAGCTAATGGTTCAAGATGCAATGTTCTGCTGGATATTGAGATATTTCATTTAGGAGTAAAATTAAGACAATCACTAGTATCCTGAGTAAAAGAGAGTTGTAGGAAATATAGCGAGAATTATCTTTGGCTGCTATAGGTAATTGGGGTGGTTGGAGGGACCAATCAATAAAATGAGAGATTCGACTAATCTTGTTAAGGTATTAAAAATAACAAGTTATTAAAGAGAATAAACCTTAAGCGGCAAGCGAATCACCACATCAGCATACAATAACAGTGAGGAACCAAAATCTATACCTTATAGGCAAGAAGGTAGTTGTTGGGTCACATCCAAAACTACTTTACTCTCATATAAGCACCTAGACAGAGGATTGAAGCA